AACAACAAAAAAGCAAACCGGTTATTGCTCCTCGCTCTTCAGAGCTCAACCGAGGACAAAACATATAAATATGTGAACAGCAAAAGATGATAAAAATACTAACAAAGAATCAGTAATATAAATCAAAGTCATATTATATTTATCTTGTGCAACCATTCCTTCTGCTTATAGGTTGCTTTGACTTAATTTCAAGAATTTTCAAATGGTAATGTGACCGTACTCTACTGACTAATCTGAAAACATATTTGGTAAAAGACCAGACAAAAATCAGATTATTTATCGCGGTACCGGAATTTTTAACACTCGCAGAACCAGTGTTTTTACAATTAATCGCAGAACCGAATCTTTTAACATGTAATCGCCGTACTGGAATTTTTAACAAGCCATCGCAGAACCGGAATTTTTAACAATCAATCGCATAACCGGAATTTTTAACAACCAATCGCATAGCCGGATTTCTTTTACAACCAATTGCAGAACGGAATTTTTAACCAGCAATCGCAGAACCGGAATTTTTAACAAGCAATCACAGAACCGGAATTATTATCAAGCAATCGCAGGACCGGAATTTTTAACAAGCAATCACAGAACCGGAATTATTATCAAGCAATCACAGGACCGGAATTTTTAACAAGCAATCACAGAACCGGAATTATTATCAAGCAATCGCAGGACCGGAATTTTTAACAAGCAATCACAGAACCGGAATTTTTAACAAGCAATCACAGAACCGGAATTATTATCAAGCAATCGCAGGACCGGAATTTTTAACAAGCAATCGCAGAAGGGGAAATTATAACAAGAAATCACCTAACCGGTTTTTAAACAAACAATCGCAGAACCGCAACTTTTAAAAAGCGTATGTGAATTTTGATACTACCCTCTACAGATTTTAGTTGATACGTGCAAATCAACCCTTGCCTCCAACCTCTGATTAATTATACCAATATATTCTGCATCGCACTGACATTTAAAACCATATACCACTAAATCATAACGTAGAGTAGAACATCTTTACGATTGAATTTCGACATAGTTCGAGAAGAGAAGAAAACATAGATTGCCAAGAAAATAAGAAATGAAATGAAATATCAACTTTTAATATAGTATAAATTTTAATGCAAAATACGTAATAAATCGACGATTCTAACGTAAATCTTCTACGCCGTAAATAAAAGAAAAGGAATTATGAAGACAAAAATGACGATTGACATTGCATTTAAATTTTGAAGCTCAAAATTCATTGAAAAACAGGAAGTCGGAAGAGAGTTTAGCATGTGAGATGTGTGAGAGAAGAAACTGCTAGCGTGAAACTTACGGCTACATCTCGCCATTTCACCTGTACAATTATGCCAGTTTAGTATGTCTTTGAAATTCGTAATATCGAGACATAAAAAAGAAAACTCATCAGAATAATTACCACGAAAATATACGTTATGGCGATGGGAAAGTCGAGATGCCATTCTAGATTTTTCTTTGGATTTTATCAAGAATCTAAAAATACATAGCAGAAGCAGCAGACCAGATGTGACCTCAATATTCGAATGGATGGATGGTACACTTATAATGTATAAGATAGATTCCAGTGATGGAAAATTGCCGAGCACGACACAGTGAACCAACTTTCCGAGCAGCAGACCTAGCAATTGATTCAATATTATCTTTCCATTTCATGTCAGCGGAATATGTCAGCCTCCTCCACGATTTGGAATTCAAAGTTTTTCTTCTTTTAGACCGTTTTTTCCTAACCAATGTTAGAGAAAGCAGCCTACCTTTGCTATTTAGTCGAAAACTAGTTTCGAAAGTAGACATCGTTTCAGGATTTTTGCGAATGCAAACACAACAAATTAGTCAGGACTTGAAAAATAAATTTAAAATTCGTAATCTGGAGTAATTAATCGATTGTAATATATGAAAAAAGAACTCCAGACAATTAATTTCATTTTTTTTATTTTAAACAATCACGTGTTATAAGTATATTTCATTTGGTTTCCTTAAGATGATCAATTTTCAATGAATAATTAAACAGTGCTTTACTATTGTCATAAGAAGTAATATCTCATTTTCACAAATCCTTAACTATTTACAGCTTACTTTAAGTTTCCGTTACGAAATCAAAGTCGACATCGAGGTCCCAATAAAGGATGTGCATTTCTTAAATAGGTTAATTGAGCCTTGCTTAGCTGTGATGCTCTCCGGTAGTTCAATCATAACTTACACTTCATTTAAAAGTAGTTTCCCAAGTTAAGAAGAGAATACAAGTTCGATTACTGTCGGGAGTTGCAATTGCTTTAATAAGACTTTCGATCGCTTGACTGGTAGACATTGATTTCACTGTTTCAAAAACAGGGATGTCTACTCAAACACATGTAACTATTAAATATAACGTTTATAGTAATTACAAATTTAAAAAATCAATTAACTTTTCTTTTTTTCTCTCTCTCTCTCTCTCTCACTATATATATATATATATATATATATATATATATATATATATATAGAGAGAGAGAGAGAGAGAGAGAGAACTCCTCTCATCAGATCAGTTCATGGACAAATTTTCCGATAAAAAAAAGTCCAGGGTAACGACCATTGTCTCGAGCGACGAACACTGAAGCCAGTGAAATCTGTGAAAATGCGGCGAAGTGCAAAGTTTGTGGAATGATATCATCCTGATAAAGTTGATAAAGTAGACTGCAGCATAAGCATTTTCAATGACAATGCCATGTCTCACTTTAGAAACATTTTAAAAAGTAGACAAAAGGCCATTGAACAAATTTTTAGTGAGTCTCAAGCCGGGCGATCCTAAGAGAGACAGAAAAGAGAAAGAAAAGAAACCTCAGTAAGACAATTACATTATGCTTTTTATGGAAGAGGGTCTAGTCTTCCAGCATTTCTACTCTTCCCATTGTCCACCCCTTCCCCTTACGCTATCAACTCTTATCCGCACAGATACGGTAAAATTAAATAGTTTTCGTCTATATTTTATCAGTGTTTTAATAATTTTCATTGGTTTTATAGATGAACTAGTACACAAACTACTGTTGCAAAAGTTTAAATAATTAATCATCTGGAATCCAGGAACGGTTGATCCATCTTACATTGATTCCTATGGGTTTACGAATATTTCAGTTCATGAACGGTCTTCAGAAACGAGGTTTCACTGCAAAATAAAAATATATATATATATATTAATAAAAAGGCTTAAACACTAATATTCCATGGTCATAATTTATTCCATTGGAATCGTAAATACGATCCAATTCATCAGACCTACAAATTCTACCTGGATTCTATCCTCTTGGAATAATTTTTTTTTATACAGATATATATGTATGTGTATATTTACCACTATATATAATATTTTATATATATATATATATATATATATATATATATATATTGCTGGGGACATGAGATGCGCGTTCGTGCGTGTTAATCAAATAATCGAGACTGAAATATGTTCGTTTGTACACATCTGTTTCCGGGTCAAATCAAACAAGGACCCAGGTGCTTCTAGTCAGCTTTACAGGCGTTAATGTAGCAACGGTCTTTTCCCCACCCATCAACTGATGAGCTAAGAAGGTTTATTAGACGCCAAGCAAGGGATGAAACATTAGAAATAAAATGAAAGAATAAAGACCGCCATCATAACGGATGTGTCATACGCATGCGCAGTGTATGGCGTGAAAATAGCGTTCAGGAAACAACGCGAAACATTTACAGATTTTCATTCATTTAAACTTTGGGCGTTTCTTTCCTGTTTGGAAATCTACAATGTTTTTATCTTTTAACTTGCCGCCTTATTTTCATAGTTTATAATAAGTGTTTCTTTTTATATTTTTACTTTCCTTCCGCTATGTTTTCTTTCTAAAACCTGTTCTTTTTTACTTATTTTTTTCTTTCTTTAACTTTTATTCTGTTGCTTTTTAACCTATAGCCCTCTTAAATGTTACTTCATTTTATTTTTCTTCCATTTTTCAGATTCCCATCGTATTCTATGAATTTAAATATCAGAATATATGAAAGCAAAACAGATCTGAATTAAACGCGTATATGTGAAGACAATAGGAATCTTTTGCAAAACAACACACTCGTTGCATTAGTCGTTCATCTTAATGAATCTGAAAATAATTTCACCTTAAAGAATGCAGCTTTAAAAAAAAAAAAAAGGTAATTTACTAAACGGAGCATGTATAGAAAGGGCGCTGAATTTTGAGTCTTCCACGTTAAATATTCGCCCATGTTCATACCACATTTCACCCTTCTTATCACAATGTGAGATATTTCAAAACAGCAGCGATAAAAATAAAATAGCGTTGGGAAGTTGAATAAAGTCGGTTAAGCTGTATGTTTAAACACACAGAAATTTAAAATTTAAATTTGACTTTTAGCGTCTCTACATCTTCAGGGTTTTCTTTAGGTGTATAATTATGACCGATGTTTGTTCATGCCCCCTCCCCCTTACATCAATAAGAACCTTATTTTAGGCTGATGGAATCCTTTTGAAGGACGAATCTTGTTACAGAAAGCTTTTTTTCCCCATTTTTTCTTTTTTCATCGTTTCCTCATTTTTGCATTCTTGTTTATCACTTTTAAACACATTCAAATTCACCTGTAAATCTTGGCGCTTGTTTGCATTATTTACACTTTTTCTTTCGTCTGATTAATTCTTCTTCACCTTTTTATCTTTCTTCTTCACATTATTTTTTATTCTTCACATTCTACTTCGCCATTTTTCTCTTCTTTCATCACATTTCTCTTTAGTTTTTCTCTTTTTTTTCCTTCTTTGTTTTCTGTTACCTTATTTTCTTCTTTTTAGCTGTTTTTTATTTATATTTTTTAGATATTAAATTTTTTTCTTATTATTTGCGTTCAGATATTTTATTCCCCCGCGAATTTGTTCTTCATTTTCTTCTATTATTTTTCTTTCTCTCCATTTTATTACTTTGTTAATTTTAATAGTTTCCATTTTTCTTCTTTAATGACATTTTCTTTCTTTAATGACATTTTCCTATGCTTACATTGTGTTTTTTCCTTCATCTTCCCTTCTACCATCTTTATTTTATTTCGATTCCTTTTTCTTCTTTTTCTTTTTCTTCTTCTTCTTTCTTTCTTTCTTTCTTTCATTCTTTCTTTCTTTCTTTCATTCTTTCTTTCATTCTTTCTTTCTTTCTTTCTTTCTTTCTTTTCTTTCTTTCATTCTTTCTTTCTTTCATTCTTTCTTTCTTTCTTTCTTTCTTTCTTTCTTTCTTTCTTTCCTTTTTGACCTTTTTGACCTTTACCTTCCAGTTTTCTCTTCTTTTCTTTTATCATTGTATTTCTTTTCATATAATAATTTTTTTTCGTTTTTCTGCTGTTTTTTTTTTCACTCATTCTCTTTTTATTTTCCCTTTTTTTCTTCTGAATGCATTTTCCTTTTTTTTTCCTTTTCCTGCAGATTCTTTTCATCTTTAATTTCTTTTCATTTATTTTTCCAATCCCATCGTAAAACTTCCATTTTCCTACCCTTTCCTTTGAGATCAACGGATGCCGACACCGGAAGTGACACCAATGGACCCTGAGATTGTAATCAACCCTACATCAGTTCGATGGCCCCTATGGACACCCAGCATGAAAAAATAATATTTATTATATTAAACAGAATAATGAAATACTTACATTTTCCCGCTTTTGACTTTTGCAGTTTCCGTGTGATTTGTCTTTGACGATTGTAAAATAAAAAAAAAAAAAATAAACATATGCAAACCAAACTTTATTTTAACATCAGATCTGATTCACGGAGAAATTATTTTTCTTTCGTTTTTAGTTAATAAACGTTTTTTTTATTCTTTTCATTTATTTTTTTTTTTTTTTTGGCGGGGGTGGGTATAGTTTCTATTTTTATTCTTCAATAGCTCAAGACATGCGTATCAACTATGAAATTGTCTGGTTGATTTTGTTTGAACGAAAAATTTAATAGAAATGGTGAAACATTGAAATAGTAAATAGAAAGGCCCTAACTAAAACTTATTGACTTCTTCACAGTGATATACGAAATCAATTCTCTTGACTCTCATATTGATATCTTTATCACCATACCATTTTCATGCTGATACTTTAGCAATATGTAGAAGGTATCGTCATAAAGATTATTACTGAAAACCATAATTAGAACAAAAGCTGATTACAACAATGGCACGAACGCACATACACGATGTTAGATTTTATTAAGCAACTCAATATTTTCACAATAAAATTAATATTAAGCAATAAATTTTGTTAAAAAAAATGAACAATACACTTATAGATACGTAGATGCAACTATCAGATCATTCTTTTTAAAAAATATAAAATAACTTGTTTTGCAGCAGCGACACGTTTTACTATGCACACAATGCTACGCCAATATTTAATTACAAAAAAATCTAAAAGATTGAAATGACAAGAATCGCATGGCTGCAAAGAGCTTTACCATCAAGCAAGTCAGTATTTGACGTTAAAGTACAATTCACTCGTTCAGATGTTTTCGAAAGGCACAACGGCTCAGTTTCGGATCCGAAATGTAAACAAACAAATTTCTGAAGAATTAAGGGATTTGATGTTTTTAATACGACATATTAAACACACACACACACACACACACACACATATATATATATATATATATATTCATTGTTACAAGCACTTTCGGCCATATCTTTAACCATTCACAAGGGAGGTGTTTTAAGTATTGTTAAAGGTGTGAAAATTGTGTTTTGAATGTCTTTTAACACACACACACACACATATATATACATACACACACACACACGAATATATATATATATATATATATATATATATATGATAAAAATATAGTTTTAAGTTAAACTATATTTATGGGCTAAAATGGTTATATTAGGTATAGAGTGTATGTAAATATAAAAGTGGATATTAAGTCAATGTACAGCTATATATATATATATATATATATATATATATATATATATATATATATATATATATATATATGGCCTGACGATTGCATTTAGCATGAAACGGGTATTGACTTTCAGATATATAGTGCTAATTTCAAATGGTGTTTTTGAAGCCAAAATTGCTGGTTTTTCAGTGTTTTGCTGATAGGGAAGTAGGCTTTGTGGTGGAGTGTTCAATATCGAAGACAGGCATAAGGCGTTAATAGAGTTTGTTCTGACGATTGGTTGGACGCATATAGCCACAAAACTCCGAAGGAAACATGTTAAGTGAATAAAAATCTTTTCCATATTAATTCCACATGTGCGTGTGAGAAGGAGAGAGAGAGAGAGAGAGAGAGATGACGTTTTATTTATTCTGACCATCACATTATGACCTTCAACTGCATGGAAAGCGATTAAAGAAGAACCAGTCTTAGGATAGATGATCGAGGATCAGCATAATTTACTTACAAGAGCAACCAAAACTTAAACGACTAATGTAATTTAATACAAATTGGAAGAGTGTTTTTTTTTTTGTCGCTACACAATGCCACATCTACACGACTGAATGAGAAAAGAAGATTACAACGTCGCTCACAGTTTAGTGTGGTTAAAAGAGATGTTTCATTCAAACGAAATTGATTTCAGCAGATTTCCCTGACCTTGACAAAGCTCCAGATCTCTTTGAGATCATTGGTTGTAGGCAATCCATAAAGCCCTTTGCATGGAACATGGCAAATGCACTCAGAATTATCCACGTCAATTCTTAAGTTACTTGAATCAGCTAAGATGGATATCCTTCATATCAACAGAGGTAAAGGGGGGATGCAGCTTTTCAGACCACATTTAAACTGAGAGAACGACAAGAGATAAAAATACACAATCGATGGCTTATGGCTTCTTCCATATTACCCAATACATTCAAAATCATTTAATGCTCACATCAATGTGGATCTCTAAAATTCTGTTAGATCTATCAAGTAAATTTGCAAGTATGTCGACAATGGTTCTGATGATGTTTTATAATAGAAAAAAATGTTACCTATGAGGCCAACTATTATCAAATTGGCAGATATATTTGTATCAATTAAGTTTTCTGGAGAACATTCAGTTTAGATAAACAGAAATGATATCCAGTGATTAGGCAGCTCAATATTTTTCTAGCCTTAGATTAGAGGAGCCATATTTGATAGTTTACAGGTTCAATTCTTATGTAATGAAAATTTAATTTTAATTGAGACCTGACATTGTAATTGAGAAGGATACTTAATGTTTCTTGCAGTCGTCTGAGCTTTAATATCCAGTTATTTCGTGATACTTCTCAACAATTATTTTCAGAGAGAAAACTTGAAAAATAAAATAAAGTAGGAGTTGACAGAGTGAAGATTATCATGACAAATCAATGACAACCTTAAACTTTGGGATCAATTATTGGTGATCGATATTTCGTAACATGCACACTCTTTGAACGTTGCATTTTCCAGAAACAATTGATAAGTTGATAAATTCATTCATTTATAAAAATTAAGTTTTACTCCCAAATTTATAGAAATTTTGCTCAAGATTAAAATGACTGTAATGATACAGTCGTACAAACCGTTGACAGTAATTTTGTTTCTTCTCTTGGGCTCCATGAAATAACGTCTTTATACATATCAATTTTGAAATCTAATCAAATATAGCGTAGAGGGTGTTACAACTGCACACTTGAAATTCCCAAACACAAAGAATGGATAAGAGTTTATTAGATGGAGCAATTGCAAAGCAACAACCTTTCACTGCAAAAAAATACTACATTTACAGCTTTTTTTCAAAAATCGTTCACGTGAATACATTTTCTCAACTTCTTTATTACCAATTTCCTTCGTCCTAATATTGGAATCGAACCACAGCGGGAGGCAGAAAATTAGATGCTTTTTTTTTTTAATGTCAGATTTTATGAAACGTTTTTTGAAATATTTTACTGTTCATTTAGCCAGCAGGAATGGATTCATTCAAAGATGTACTTAAACGAAGTCCGTGGACGAAATTCATTTGTCTTCAGACAGTGAATGAACAAGTATCTGCCACATACAGAGAAGTATTTTCAAACGAAGACTTTTTGAAAATGATGCTGAAAAAGAAATCTCAATGATGAAACCTATGAAACCTCATTTTTTTTTAGCTTCCCCACTATCTAAAATTCAATAAAATAATTAAAAATCCATCATTAATTCTATCTTCAAAATGATTGCCATAGCTCGCCTCAGACAAACAGATCTCAAGAAAACCAACTACAAAATGTCATTCAGCGTGATTTCTGTCACGATGTCAATTCTCTTGTTCAATTGGATCCTGATATATTAGTCTAAGGACGTCGACGATCAAAACACAGCATTTCATATTTATACTGAAAGTATTATAATCAGATAAGGTTTCAATAAGACTCATTATTTAAAACATGCGGACTATTTTCCTCATCTTTGTTGTTGTTATCAAAACGTTTCGGTCATTGTTCCCCCCTTCATCAGATGTATATCGATACATAGTAATTGTGAGTTCAATCCTTAGCCGGGCTGTGTGTAATTGTACTCATTTGAAACAGAGCGAGCAATAACTTTCCATGATCAGTTAAATGTTGCTACTGCCCGAGTGTGAAGGTAGCGTAACAATTATCAGCATTGGAAATGGAATCGGTGTACCAAGTTTCAGTCAATTAGCTTTAATCCCTTAGAAAAGGCATGGACCAATCCTCCTTCAGCTCTTCGTTAAATAGGAAGGTAGACTGGGTTCTTCAGACTTGTTTGGCAACCAATCTGAGAGAAAAGAAACTTTGAATTCAAAACCTTCTTGAAGAGTGATCAGTTCCAGTAGATACCACCCCTTATTGCTACGGTTGCAGTTCGTGTTCTTCTCTTAAGATCCTAAATGGATTACGTGGAAAATGGGGAAAGCAAATAAACATTGTTAGGAAAGAAACTCCGTTATGATTTATATAAATTACTTTTTAACATTGATTTTTATGCAATAATTCAGTGGTACATTACAATGTTTGACAGTAATGCGAAACAGTTTCCTATTTTGATTCAGATTTACGATCTATTTTTTTTTATTTTTTTTTTTTTTGCGCGCGCGTCATTAGATATTATGCTTTCATGAAATAAAAAAAAAGATAACTTCTGCTTCTGTTTCAAAAATTTACATTAACTATCGCCATTCCCTCTTCGATGGAATATAAATGCTCATTAGCTATGAGGATAAATGAGGTGAGTTTAAATGTGCAGCAGTTAATGTTACCTTGTTGCCACGTTTGATCCCAATCATTTTTTTGCATGAACACACACACACACACACACACACACACACACACACACACACACACACACACACACATATCTTGGTCGGTTCGAGAAATTATCAATATCTCTCATACACACACACACTCATATATATATATATATATATATATATATATATATATATAATATGTCTGGGTGCTTATGTATTATAATCTGATTGTGTTTTTTTTGTTTTGCGCGTGAGTTTAAGACCACATTCACACACTTTAGAATAAAAAATATATATACATGTATTGTCAAATGACCGGATATATTGTAGCGTCTTGTCGAACGTAATTTCAACGAAGA